GACTCATGTGGAATGATATACTTTGTGGAGTTAGAGATATTAATTCTTGCTTACTTATATTTGAATATTATCCTGGGATTAGGTTCGGGAAGTCCGGGTGGGGGTTTTTTTTTTCTTGTTATATAGTATTGTGTAATATTTGTGATGTTTTTTTTTTACGATGAAAATAATAAAAAATTTTATATGGAAAAAAAAAAAATAAAATAAAATGAATGCTCATAATAGTAAAAAAAATATCTGCTAGGTGCAGGCATTTAAAGTATACCTAGTTCCATATTCTGCTATTTTTCTATGCCATCACAGAACTGGAACATCCACACAAGTTGATGCAATTCTATGGACACATAAGGGCTATGTCTACTTCATTATCTTACAGGAAAACAAAGGTTTCCAAAATCAGAAGGGGTAACATTTAATGCTATCATTATTTTCTACTTTGCAGGAATAAGGTTTGTTGACAATACCAATAACTTACCCTGAGTTTTGGATTTTTGAGACTAGAGAAGTAGTTTTCAAGCTGAAATGAAGAAAAAAAAACAAAAATGACAAATGAGCATCAGAAGAAACATTTTAGAGGTTTATAGTGCATGTCAACAAAGACATAGAAAATAGTGGAAATGTACTTAAAAATCAAAAGCCACCCATACATATTTTTTTCCAACTGTCTAAAGAATACTTACAAGAAAACAACAATAAAATTTCATACTAAGCCAATCAGGTGTAATTAGGCAAAGAGCTCTTTTTAAATGATATTTGGCTCTTTAGGAATGTAAATTATGAAATCTTTTATTCACTTAGGACAGACATGTCAAACACAAGGCCTGGGGGCTGGATACGGCCCACAAAGTGGTTTCATGTGGCCCGCGAAGCCATCCTGGAAACAGTGAGGGAACGGCCCCCGCTGCCTTGGCCCTGGCCCAGGCCAGCTGGGAGCCAATGTACAATTTTGTGGTGGCCATCTTGGCACTTGCCCCGGTGGACCATGCCTTGGCACTTGCCCCGGTCCCATCCCCTTCTGCCAGAGTCCCTCAGATCTGTCCCATTCCTGCCCAGGCCCCTACAGACACCTTTGACGCAAATGATGTAGAACTGACCATGCCCACCCAGCAGGCCACACCCACTCCATCCATGCCCACCCAATAGGCTGCACCCACTTTGGCCACACCCACCTGCCCCCCCCAGGGCAACCGCAATGCTGATGTGGCCCTCAGTGAAATTGACACCCCTCTTAGGATACCAGACTAATTACTAATTAAGACACCCCTCTTAGGATACCAGACTAATTACTTTAGAAAACAAAACTTGCCATGGCACCTGTACTGCTGGAACATACCAGGCGGGCAGAGACCATTGGAGATAGCTGGTCCTTCAAATAACGAGGTACAATGCCATTTAGGGCTTTACAGATAATAACCAACATCTTGAATTGGACTAGGAAATCGATTGGCATTCAATGCAGCTTGTATCAATACTCACTATGGTTCGATCAATAGTATGCAGGTAGTAAGAAACTGGTTTCCCGGTCCATGAGACAGATCCTTTTAGTGGTGACAACTCTACAACTCTCATTATAGTGCCAATATCTTTGAAAGAAAGAAAGAAAGAAAAGCTGAAAAGAATTAGGAAGCTTTCTACTGTAATTAGATTATGTAATTACATGTAGATGTAATTAGATTTTGTAAAGGCAGCTATATTAGGTCACTGCAGCGAAACCACCAGCACAAGCTAGGTATTCTTAACTCTAATATGTGGGAGTAGAATCCTTGGAGTGAAAAAGCAGTTATATACAATAGCAACCAATTGTATCTAAATTTAGATGCAGCAAAACCCAAAGGGGGCAATCACATATCCCAGGTTAGGACTGAAAGAACGGAAAGGATGGAGAGTGGGCCCAGGGGTGCTCATGCAAGTCCCCCCCCCCTCCCCGGTGTCCCAATCCTGTCAGATCTCTGCATTCAACAGGAAGGACTGAAGTGAGTTTGTATTTGTGTTCACCCAACTCCCACCTAGTGAAGAATGTTGCTTTATTGCTAATTACACAGAAGCTTTTTCTTGTGCTCCAAGTATATAAAAGCCTCCTTCAGACCTCACTCATAAACACATGAAGTTTAGGATAGGTTCACTGGGGAAGGAGGGAGGAACAAGCTTTTGCGAACATGCTTAGAGTCCAAAACACCTAGAGGGCATAGGTGGAGTGCTTAAGATGCTATCCTAGAAACAGGAGACTCTGAGTTCTAGTCCCGCCTTAGATATGAAAGCCAGCTAGGTGACTTTGGGCCAATCAGCAGGAGATTGTGAGTTCTAGTCCCACTTTAGGCATGGGTGACTTTGGGCCAGTTGCTCTCTCTCTCTCAGCCCAAGTCATCTCACAGGGTTATTGTGGGGAAAATAGGAGGAGGGAGGAATATTAGGAATGTTTGCCACCTCGAGTTACTTATAAAGTACTAAAGGAGGGATAAAATCTAATAAATAAATAAAGCACTAAATAGCACTTTAAAAAGTTCGCAACTGCGCCTATTATTTTGCTTCTCAATGCGCAGCTTAAAACACAACAAAATATATAAAAAAACTTACCACTCAAGTTTCGGCTGTTTATTCTAAAGTTTAATGGTGCAAAAGGTTTTGAGGATACTATCTGACCACCTGGAAAAAAAAGTTATGCTACAGGTTAATTTCCCTTAGCAGTGACAAGTTAGAAAAAAATGTGTAAATTTATTTACTTCTATATCATAAAGATACATGTATCTTTTCATGTATGTCCCTATCCGATGAGCTTAACATATCTGGTAATTTTAGCGGTCAGTGATGTTTTTAAATGATTTATATGAGTGCTGAGTTTAATAGCAGAGGATAAGTTGGAAGTACAGGTAGTCCCTGACTTACAACCATTTGTTTAGTGACCCTTTAAAGTTACAATGGCACTGAAAAAAGTGACGTATGACGATTTTCACACAACCACTGTGGCCTCCTCATGGTCATGTGATCAAAATTTGGACGCTTGGCAACTGGTTCATATTTATGATGATTGTAGTGTCCCAGGATCATGTGATCATCTTTTACAGCCACAATCACTTAACTGTGTTACTAACTTAACAACTGCAATGATTCACTTAACAGGTGTGGCCAGAACGGTTGTAAAATGGGGCAAAACATACTTAACAACTGTTTCAATTAGCAACACAGAAATTTTGGGCTCAGTTATGGTTGTAAGTCGAGGACTACCTGTAGATAAAATTGGCAGCCAGAACTCTGAGATTCTGTCTTAACAGTTGAAGGAAAAGGAAAAGGGCAAAATAGAAAGCTATTAGTTTCTTTTGAAAAATAAATCTCTATATATGTAAATATTCATCTTCAGTTCAGTACAATCCTTCAGAACTGCTCTGTTAAACAGAGAAACCCATGTAAACTACAAGAAAACCACAGAGAATACAGGAGAAAATAAAACAGTGCAGAACTATCTATCTTCCTGGAAAACAACAATGAACTGGGAAAGGCAGACAGCAAGACTGAGCCATTTATCCAGCATCAATTTGATGTTTATAGAAAGCTCCAACGATAATTTACTGCAGGGATGTACAACATGGCAACTTTAAGACTTGTGGATTTCAACTCCCAGAATTACCCATCCCTAAGTCTTAAAAGTTGCCAAGGTTGGACACCGCGATTGCATAAAAAGGAAAATCATAAAGAATCACTCTTAGGATATTTTGCTCTTCACAAAAGCAACATTTATGTTATCACAATGAATGTGATTCAGTGAAAATTGTTCGTACATTAGGAGGACCGCCATTTAATTGCTTTGGCTCCTTAGAACAGCAAAGGGTTGGCAGGTTTTATATCAAACAGTTTTGATATAATTCTTTGTTAGCAATCCAAATTTTGAAATATATATATATATTGCTATTTAAATCCCTCCATGAAACAGAGCGGTAACCAAGTTGTGGAGAACTGGGTACTTTTCAGGGAGAAATTTCCCATTTTCCTTTAATCTCCTCCCCAAATCTCCAACAATACAGAGCAAAAAAGGCATTTGGGGGGGAGGGAATAATAGGGGATGCATATGGTCTATGGCCTGACCAGCTCAAGATTAAGAAAAATATAGGAAACATTCATAAAATAGCTGGATTATAACAGTGATACGATCGTTGGATGCTAGGACACAAGAGACAAAGCTAAACTTCTGGATGAATTATAGCTCAGATAATGGCTTGGAAATTTTCATGTACCCAACTGGCCACAACGTATGGCTTAATGCCCGAATACATTAACCATATGTATACTTTTTATTAGCCATGCATATATTTTTCCCTCCCAGTTGACAATTCCTCTAACTGCATGTTATGACTCAGCACAACATTTAATGCCTCTGGTGAAAGGGGTGGACTGCAGTCATAGGCTACAGCCAGTGAATGGTTAAGCCATGAAAGAATTTAGTCTGAAAGGGGCTACAGGACTTTTCATTGTTTCGCCTAACAGATGAGTAAAATGGTTAAATAGGGATAATTACTCAGCCATTCGTAATCCCTATTAAGCACAAGTCTTAACAGCACTACATCTGCAAGGAAACCAGCTCAGCAGCTTTAGTGTGAATCTGCCTTTCAGAAACTTTTTGGTTTATGCCGAGAATGGGGGAGCTTTCGAGATCTTGATGGCTTAACAAAGGAATAGCCTAATGAAAGGGAACAGCTAGCTATAAAATAGCTCCAAAGGCCACACCCACAAGAGGATTCGAATACAGGGCAGCTCCCTGGCAGGTGAAGTTAAAAAAAAAAAAGCTGTATTTAGAACAGTGGTTCTCAACCTTTTTAATGCCGCGACCCCAACCGGTCGTAAGTCGAGGACTAAACCGGTCGTAAGTCGAGGACTAAACTGGTCGTAAGTCGAGGACTACCCAACCGGTCGTAAGTCGAGGACTTTCCCTGTCCGGGAGCGCCGCACATGTGTGGTTCCGCCCCCTGTGCCAGCCGAGGCATAGCTGGCAAGCGGCAGAGATGGAGCAGGCCGACCACCAGCTGGCCCAGCCCAAGGGAGGTAAGGCACCCGCCGGAAAAGGGGAAAAAAAATGGCGGACAAAAAAAATGGCGGACAGCCTTGCTTGGCGACCCCCGTGAAATGGTCGATCGACCCCAAATGGGGTCCCGACCCACAGGTTGAGAACCACTGATTTAGAATAAGCAGCAGAGAAGAAATCGAATAGCTCTAGGACTGTGCAATGGATCCCATTTCATGAACAGATGCCAAATCTCTCCTTGGCAATTAAAATAAATTATAAGGTAAGGCAAACCTAAGTCAGGTTTCTGGCTAAGGATGAAGACCGGAGTGTTCGTTCCAAGAGTAGTGCTTAAAAGCTGCCCTAATAGATCAGATCAAGCTTATTTCATTTAACAACTTCCTCTTGCCAAACTGAGAGGCCTCCCACTGACTTGCCTGAACGCCTTGTTCTTCATCAAAGCTGCAGATGGCCAAAAAGGTTACCAGGCTCAGGTGCAAAATGCAAACATAGCCAAGAGAGATTACTCTTAATGCTTTTAATGTAAAGGGAGCTCTATAAAGATGGCAAATAAATCGGCCATTGTCACAGTCTCAAGGTTCTGAACAAAATCCGATTCCCTTGATTACTACCCACAACCCTCACTGTGGAGGAAATAACATATATATATAGTAGCCTATGCCAACAGAAGAGAATATTTGTAACTCAGAGTTGAACTATGGGGTCCTTGGTGCTCTCTGAGCTTGGCTGTTTTCTTGCACTTGTATATAAACTGAGAGCAAATCCCACTTCCTTCTGCCGCTGATGATGTCACCTAGTTGAGTAATGTCTACAAGAATACAACCAAGTTCAGAGAGTACCAAGGACCCCACAATAATCTAGCTGAAAGCATGCTGGCACACGAGTTCTTAAGTGGGCACTCACAGTTCTGGGGGCTCACCAACGTACCAAAGGGCTTTGTAGCTGGCATTAAACAAAACTGCTCTGGTTTGTTTTCATAGGGATTTGAGGAACTCTAAAATTTGTGGTTATAGATGCTAAATGATGCTAAAGAGGAGGTTATAGCAGAGAGTTCTTCAAAAAGCTTTAAGGTTTCTCTTAGAGCAGGGGTCCTCAACCCTGGCAACTTTAAGACTTGTGGACAGCAAAGCTGGCTGAGGAATTCTGGGAGTTGAAGTCCACAAAGTCTTAAAGTTGCCAAGGTTGGAGACCCCTGTCTTAGAGAAAGCAAAGTAGTTTACATGGGTTTCAAGATCAAATGATATTATTGCTTCAAGGTAACAGGTCAAAAGCCCAAGGCTTTGTTCAATGAAATGAGGGAGGGAGAAGGACAGGGCCAGTAAAAATAACATGTAAAAATATTTGTTAAGGGGGAGAATGCTCAGAAGTTCAGAGCCTAAAATTACGTGATTGCATTATTGAATATATTCAGAAGATACAAAGAATATGAAATCCCTGATATTACTAATACTGATTGCTTCCATGTATATTAAGCTTTATGAGTTAGTATTCATACGAGATAACTGAGGGAGTTTACAATCTTAGAAGAGACAAAGGCAAGAAAAGATAAATAAAAGACATCAGCTCTAGGAAGCAACATTTGAAACTAAAGGCACAGTCAGTTTATATAAACCTCATGGTTACAATCACGAATCAAAAAGAAAAAAACCCATACCTGTAGCTACATTCCAGCTTGGTTTTGCTATGTATGTATGTATGTATGTATGTGTGTGTGTGTGTGTGTGTGTATTTAACTCAAGAAAGTCTTGATAAAAGAATATTGAATTTATTACCTTCCTTCATATTTGCGAATCGCTCCTTCAACTGGTGATCCACTTCAGGACCAAAAGCAAAGTTATTCACAAAGATAACACTGCAAAGTAACAGTGTGTTAGCAAACAAGGAAAAACATCTTGGTTTCTCATTAAGGCTTAAAAAAAGATTTCTAATGAGAGGAATATTTACCTCTTACAAAATTTAACTGACTATACCAAATAAAGCCAGAAAAACATACAAAGTATTCTTTTATTTGTAAAAGAACTGAATATAGGAAGTCTTTGACTTATGACCATAATGGAGCCTGCCCACCATGGATGTGAGTCACAAAGATTGTAAAACTGATTGGTCACATGACTCCCCCGATTTTACAACCTTTATTTTTTGCAGTAGTAATTAAATAAGCCCTATGATTGTTAAATGAACCAATACTTTGCTATGGGAACAGTTTTGTGAAAACAAAGAGGTACTTTTCAGCAAAACTGTTCTAAAAGAGTCATGTGACTGCAAGATATCCAAACAGCAGTGAATAAAATCCACCTTGCCAAGCACCCAAAGTTTAGTCATGTGTCGGGGGGGGGGCGCCCCTGACTGTCTGGGTCATAAGTAGTCCCAAGCTAGGTCCATGATAACTTTGGTCAAAAGTCAAGGACTACCTTAAATCACATATGGCTTTTGATAAAATGCCTTGCATGACAACTGTGCAGCATAAAAAGGGTACTATAATAGCAATTAATTATGTGCCAGTGTACAATTCTATTTTCTTCTAAATTTCAGGAAGGAGGAGAACTAGAATGAAAGCAGACAAACTTCCAGAAACTATGTAGTTTTCCTAATTTTCTGGAGCTTTCTTTTCTAGAGTTCCACCAACTGAAATTTGGTACAAAACAAATTCAAATCAATCAAAGAATTCTAAGCCCAGAGTTTGGGCTGAGTATCAGAACTGAAAATGAAGCCCACAGAATCTTCTACATAAATATGCAAACCAAGTTTCCCTAAGTATTTTTAATTCCAACAGTATATCTAAGAATGGAGGTCTTTTTGCCATTTTGCTGCTGTTGTTAAATATTTGGGAAATATAAATCCTTTTTTAATCATATTATAATCCCTTCTGAGATCTATCAACAGATCTGGATTCACATTTTGTCCAACCCTGTACTAGAATTCAGATTATTTACTATTCCCTGACATACACTGAGAGAAATCTTTCTAAAAAATAAACAGACTAAGACCTCATTCCCTTTTTTAGCGGTGAGAGGTTTTTTTTTCTTCTTCAGAAAAAGTATTTGTGTTCAAATACTCCACAGAACTTACACTAAATGGAAACTAATGTTTGAGAGATCATTGGAGTTTGGCACATTGGAATCACACAGCCTTCCAAGAACAGAACTCCTCCATCCTATCTAAGGTTTAAAAGTGTTTGCCTGCGTAGGCAGAAGAATTTATTTATTTATCAAATTTAGAGACCACCCACTACATCCTCAGAGCAACTCTGGGTGGTGTACAATTAAAAATGCTTAAAGAATGGGCTGAGAGAATTTTTCAGAAAAGAGGGCCTCTCTGTAATGGCGCAATAGTTACAATGCTGTATTTCAGGCTGACTCTGCTCACTGCCAGGAGTTTGATCCTGATTGGCTCAAGGTTGACTCAGCCTTCCATCCTTCCAAGGTTGGTAAAATAAGTACCCAGATTGTTGGGGGCAATAGTCTGACTCTGTAAACTGTTTAGAGAGGGCTATAAAACATTGTGAAGCAGTATATAAATCTAAGTGCTATTGCTCTGAAGCTATATTGTGGCAATAATGAATCTGCCATTGAACAGCAGTGTATATCCTTTGGCTTCATTTAGTTTTGTAAATAAACATATAAAGATAGCAAAATCAAGGGATCATTTAGGCTATTTAATCCAACCCCGCTTAGGGCAAAAGTCCAAATTAAAGCATTCCCAACAGATGAATGATTAGCCAACGCTTGGACATATCCATTAAAGGCATAGATGTCCACCACCTCCCTGGGGAATTGACTCCAAAACCATGAAAGCTGTGCTTAAATTCTGCACTGTTTTCCCATACAGAATATCCTCAATCCCAGTGAATACTGTCCTTAAAATTCCAAGAAATAAGGAACAATGTTCATATTATTTGCTAACAAATCAAAGGAGCAGAAGCGATATTGAATAGCAATCCTCAAAATGGGAGATGAGACTAACTTTTTATCAAACAATTTTATATTTATGATGGCAGCCCCGGAAGCCCAAGTTAAAATTGTACCTTGTGTTTGCGATTCTTTCTCGCCATTCTTCTGAGAGGAAATCACCTCTTTCCAGCTAAAAATAAATTAAAGAAAAAAGGCGCTTGAAATTCGAATTTAAACTAAGCCACTTTTTAGATGTTTAATCCAAACATATCTATTACAACACAGAATAGGGAAGGAGAATCTATGCTTTTTATTGTTGAATGTTAAGGCATCAGAAACATGGTAGGAAACAGAACATAATCCATTTGCAAAGTTCATTGTGATTCTAATATAACCAGTTACTTGTTTCAAGGGAAGACTAAGCCTATGTAAACCCAAAGGACATACAAGGCTGTTTTTTTTTCCAACATTAAAAACACACAAGCAACTGCACAAGCTATAATTATTAGACAAGGAATGAAGTAGATGCTTAAACCTTTTCCTCCATTCCAAATTCTCATTTCCCCATCCTACCTTCTGACCCAACAGGGAAAAGACTTCCGAACAGGTGAAAGAGTTAAACAGCCACCAACTGCATTTTAGGTAATTTTATCATTAATTTACCATTACCTAAAACAGGTATTGAGAATCCGAGCACAGATATGGGGCCCAGACATAGGATAATAGTACTTTGTGGCTTATATGCTGTGCAAACCAAACAGTTGTGAGAACAGCCACACAAGAGAAAAGGTTTGGCACATCAACTTTTTAATCATGGTCAACAATACACAGTATGCCAAAACAGAAATAACCAACCTTTTAACTAGAGGATCCAGTCCAGTTACTGCTACTTATTTCAAAACCAGGAAGAGTTTGATAGTTTTCTGATTATGGGTAGTCCTCAATTTACGACCATAATTAAGCCCAGAATTACAGTTGCATGCTATGACATTCATTAAGTGCTGACCACGCGACTGCACCTGACTTTATGATCCTTTTTGCAGTAGTCATTAAGTGAACATCTTGGTTGTTAAATGAACCTGTTTTCCCCAATGGACGTTTTTGTCAGAAACCAGAAGTAAAGGTCGGAAATTGGCAAAATAAAAAATAAAAAAATGCCAAAAATCATAGTCACCTGACTAGGGGATGCTGCAAATGGCTCTAAATGCAAGCCGGTTATCAAGTGCCCAAAATGTGATCATGTAACCACGGTGTGTGTGTGTGTGGAAAATGGATCGTAAGTAACTCTAAAGAGGTCCATCGTAATTTCAAACAGCTGCTAAACGACTGGTCATTAAGCGAAGACTACTTGTAACAAATTTTATTAAAAGATTCTACCGGACTCCTGACTTTTTTACAGCCAGAAACTAACCCGTGTCTCCTTCTACAATACTGTTTAGTGAAACATTCAGCAAGCGTTTTCAAATTCAGCAGGAATTCTAAACTTAGCAAAAGTTTTTGATTCAGATTTCTATACATATGCCAATGCCAGGCCTACCTACCGAAGACTAAGGGAATTAAATTCATGGCAACCAAAGACCAGAATCCAGCCAAAGAGGCCGCTCGGATCCCAAGTAGAAAAACGACATTATGACTAGAGGGCTAATCACATTAAGAAACCAGTACCTTTCCAAAAAAGACTGCTTTTCTGGAGTTTAGAGCTCAAAAATAAATTTGAGAAAAGAAATCTACCCACAGCAAATGTATCACACCCTCACAGTAGGAAGAACCAAGACCTGGCTGGCTGCCTGTGTATATAATACCACACACACACACACACACACACACACACACACACACACACACAAACACACACACACTGTTTCATTCCAACAGCCACTGTTTAATACACTTGGCTCACAAAGAATTGTTCTGCCTGGAAAAGCACACGCAGCTATTTTTAAAATAATAATAATAAAAAAAAGAAAACTGCTAAACATGGCTCTGTTTCAAAACCACAGGAGGGACTGGAGGGTTTTTCAAATATCTGAGCGGGCTGAAGTTCCCGCTGAAAAATGGGCGGTAAATATATTCATCCAGAAACAAGTAAATATTCTGCTGGGGGGGGGTTGTGGCAAAAGAGTAGATCTGTTAAACAGTCCTTGCACAGGGTAGATGAGCAGAGAGAAAGCTATGATGTTGCTATTAACTGGGGGGGGAAACAAGTGAGAAACAAAAAGAAAGGGGATGGGGATTTTAATTGTTTTTATTTTTAAAAAAATGTTTGCTGCCTGGAGTCACTTGGGGAGGTAGGTGGCGATGGATGGATGGATGGGAAGGGAAGGGAAGGGAAGGGAAGGGAAGGGAGGGAAGGAAGGAAGGAAGGAAGGAAGGAAGGAAGGAAGGAAGGAAGGAAGGAAGGAAGGAAGGAAGGAATTACCCATTTTGGGTAATTCTCTTCTTAACCCGGATAAAAGGGTTTTATAATTCACTTGACTCATCTTTCTATGTCTATGTGATTTCTAAGAGACTTGGTGGCACATAATCTCACTTGACTTTTTTCCTGACAGCCTCATTTACTTTTTTCATTATTTTTCACTCAACAAGAAACCAAAAAAGTAGGAGTAGACATAATGGCCTGTTCATATATAACACAGCTAAGCAATTTTTTTCCCCAGGCCTTGGAGACAGCTGCCTTGAGCATTTATGTGTCATTTTTTTGAATTAGCATGATGTATGAGCAATGGCTTGTTCAACACTTTAAAGTTCCTGGCTAATGATTGTACAAAGAGACATCATCTCCCTGATCCAAGCATTTTAAGGCAAAAATATAACTTACCAGCTGATCATACATTTTATGCAAATTGTGCCATTTTATTAAGTCCATCTCTATTTCTTTTTAATGACTTGGAACATAACTTATTAGGAAAATTGAGAGGGAAAAATGACACATGGAAAGCATTCAGGGAAGGGAGACATGACTTCCTTAAGAAAAAGATTCTAAAAACAGCTCTCAGATCTAAGTGGTTTCATACCAATACACCCAGAGGTACCTGCAGAGCTTGCCACCTATGGGGATACTTCCCGGCCATCAGCTTACATGAATTACAACCAGGAGTTTTGAGTCTTAACTCAAAGCACGAGAAGAAATTCCCAGACAGTATATCAATGCTAAACTCTAAATCACCTGTCTAGGCAAGAAAAACCAAATGTACAGGTATAGTATAGGGGGTACCTTGCTCAATAGTAGTAACTGTGAGAGGGACCTCGGAGTCCTAGTGGACAATCATTTAAATATGAGCCAGCCGTGTGCTGCAGCTGCCAAAAAGGCCAACACAGTGCTAGGCTGCATGAACAGGGGGATAGAATCAAGATCACGTGAAGTATTAATACCACTTTACAATGCCTTGGTGAGGCCACACTTGGAATACTGCATCCAGTTTTGGTCACCACGATGTAAAAAAGATGTTGAGACTCTAGAAAGAGTAAGAGAAGAGAGGACTGGAGGCTAAAGCATATAAGGAACGGCTGCTGGAATTGGGTATGTCTAGTTTAATGAAGAGAAGGACGAGGGGGGACAGGATAGCAGTGTTCCAATATCTCAGGGGCTGCCCCAAAGAAGAGGGAGTCAGGCTATTTTCCAAAGCGCCTGAAGGCAGGAAAAGAAGCAACAGATGGAAACTAATCAAGGAGAGAAGCAACCTAGAACTAAGGAGAAACTTCCTGACAGAACAATTAACCAGTGAAACAACCTGCCTCCAGAAGTTGTGAATGCTGCAACACTGGAAGTTTTTAAGAAGAGACTGGACAGTCATTTGTCCAAAATGGTATAGGGTTTCCTGCCTGAGCAGGGGGTTGGACTAGATGACCTCCAACTTTTTTTTTATTATTATTATTATTATTATTATTATTATTATTATTATTATTATTATTATTATTATTATTATTATTATTTAAAAAACAGTGTTTCTCAACCTTGGTAATTTCAAAATGTGTAGACTATCAGAATTCTAGAATCTGGGAGTTGAAGTCCACACATCTTAAAGTTGTAAAATTTGAGAAACGCTGATCTAAATTGTAAAGGAAGTAGCTCTCTTTTATTACATATTCAAAGACAAAGTTTACAAAGGTCAGAACAGTACTATATCCTCTGAGCTCTTGACTCAATGGCCATCTTTGTACATCATTTCCTGGTCCATGGTGAAGACGTTTTTTCAGGGTGAGAGCTGCATTTGGGTTTTGATGGACAAGCCATAAGCCACAAGTCAAAACTTAGATGAGTCCAGACAAAAAAAGAAACGTAACTTGACTTTAATTAAAGAGCACACAAGTTGCCTAAACTGGCAAATGGTTCATTCATATTCTGGTTTATTAAAGTTTTCTTCATCATCAAAAGGACCAGAGCTCCTTTGACTTTTCAGACCGAATTTAATTTTAATCTGTAACTGGCTGCAGAGGTAATTCTCAGAAACTCCTACACTAAAATAAAATGTCATTATCCACATTAGGGTTAGAGGAAGAAGGTTTGCTTGGTTTTAAAAGGAACTCTGTGGTTTAGTTTCACTCACTGTGTAATCTGCATGTTTTTTCCCATACCATTTCATCCACTTTCTGAACTCTTTGTCCATTGTCTTGAAAGGGTGGAAGAAAGAAAAAGAAAGAAAAAAAGAGATTATTATTGGGAAAAAAAATCCAGAGACTACATTTCCACAAATAGAACAAAATAGTAACTATGAGAGTGTCTAACGAGAGACTGCTACAGTACACAAAGCTGCACTGCCATTAACATAACATTTCAGGATGTGGAAGATAGCTGAATTTAACCTTAACTTTACAGGAGCGTGGTGAAATTAGCAGCAAAACATGTTGAACAGGTTTTGGGTTTACCACTTGAGAAATTCAAGACTTGTAGTGTCTTTCACAGAGTAGCAGCCTACTTGGCACAAGGAAACTTACAGGTTTTTCTTTGAAGATGTTTCACTTCTCATCCAAGAAGCTTCTTCAGCTCTAACTGGATGGCGGGGAATGCAAGGATTTATATTCCTTGCAGACAGCTGGTCATTTGCATTCTTGGAAGTTAGTCTGTGTCCCCTTTTTCTACTCTTGGGGACACCGTTTATTTAACAGTCACCACAGGCTATAAAACCAAGCATCTAAGCCAGTGTTTTTCAACCTCAGTGATTTAGATTTAGATTTTATTAAATTTTATTAAATTCAACTCCCAGAATTCCCCAACCAGCATGCTAACTCGGGTATTCTGCAAATTGAAATCAACACACCTTAAAGTTGCTGAGGCTGATCTAAGCACTGGATGTTGAAGATGGTGTTTTTCAAAATGGTATATAATCACTCTGGCCAGATTTCTAACCTATATTACAATTTTAACCCAAAGTACTATGTTACCTCAGCATATTTGGCCGGAATATCAGCTTTCTCCACACCATAGTGATGCTTGCAGTTTGTTGCTGCAGCCACCTGGAGCACAACTTGACCAACACCTAAAAGAAGACAACAGGACTACAGTTAGGAGGACTGCCACAATATCACAAAAGAAGCTAAATTTGGAGTAAGAAGTTTACATAAGAACTGCAAGGATATTAGTGAATTTCTAAACATGTTATTTTCTATATCAGAATGTATGTCAGAAAGTGGACTGATTTAAACAATCAACACTTGGCTCACAAAGTCCAGAATTTTTCTTGAAGCTGCACATTTGAAATGCAGATTAACGTACAGAACTAGGTTTCAATGCCAAAACCAACTCTTTAATCTGAGATTGAAACAAAAATGGTCACCAGTATTGCTGACATAAGACAAGAATGAAACATTTCAGGCTCTATATGTCAGAAAGATCTTTGGCTGTCAGATTCTCAGTCCACTGAAGTTTCCAGAGCTGTTTTCAAAACAGCACTGCAACAGTCTAGAATAATTAAAGCCAAGACTGTTCACTCTCAACCCAGCCAACCTCACAGGGTTATTGTATGGAAAATAGGAGGAGGAAGGTATGTTGGATATGTTTACCTCCTTGAGTTATTTGTAAAAATAATAAAGGCAGGATACAAATAAATAGATAAATAAATAAACCAACTATAATAATAAATGTCAAGGCATGACATTGTTGCTAATTTTACTGCCTATCCAGAGGTAATAGGGAAATACATTAGTCAAAAATATATTAAGATTTCACGTTATCGTGAGATAATAGCTGGAGAAAATAAGAAGCCAGGCAGCAGAATCAACAGGGAGTCCAAAGACTAAAGAAAGACTCCAGAAACTTTAACTTCCCACTGTCCTTGAAATAATTACTTAACTGCAAGAGAAGGAATCATACAGCCCAAAAACTACTCTAGATCAGAGTTCTCGAACCTTTCCTGGCTTGCGGCCCGGAGGGGAGAGCAGCTTCCAAATTACTGAGTGTGCGCATGCATGCACGCACGCAAATGGTGCCATGCCCATTGGCGCAGCACTAGCGGCCGTGTTCACGCATGTGTAAACAGCTGCGCACCCCCCACCGCAGCTAGCGCCCGTTCGTGCATGCGCAAATGGGCTGCACACACACAAATCCCCGCGCTAGCGGCCCATTTGCACATGCCCAAAGGGGGCGCGCACGCCCCCCCATGCTAGTGTTCCAGTTCACGCCTGCACGCATATGCAAACAGGGCCGTAGGCGCTAGCGCGAGTGGGGGGAATGTGCGCCCACGTGTGTGTGCCTTGGCCAGCCATTTCTGCGGCCCACCGGCCAAGAGCCCACAGCACAGTACCAGGCCGCGGCCCAAAGGTTGGTGATCCCTGCTCTAGATGAATCCAACAACTTGAGTTTGCCTAGTAGTTTTTTTCCCATACTGATTGCAACATTCCTCTCAGTTTCACTATTGATTTGCTATATGGCACAGGGAACTGCTCTTCAACAGAGGAAGGTTCAGCCCCTCCCTAGTTACCCACAACAGCCATCCACTGTCTGTTTTTCCTGGGGTAAGTAAAAGCTAACCAGGGAGGAGGTGGGTGAATCCACAGTGACAGGGTCATAGAAATGCTATTAGCTGCATTAACTAAAGTTCCCGCTTCTCCAACTACTAGATTCCATCCATTTAAGTGAATTTTATGCTCTGCTTTTAAGTGAAAATTGGCAGCACTATTTTAAAATTTGCAATTACAAGAAATATTAAACTTAGGTCTTTTTCAAATCAAACAAATGAACCTGAACACTTCTTGGAAGCACAGGAACACGTAAGAGGAATATAGTATTGGAACCACCTAGAGATTTAAATAGAAGTTCTAGATGTTAAGGCAAAAATAAATTCACATGGCTAAAACTACACATGCTGGAAGCATAATATCACAACAATTGGCTGGCCAGAGTTGATGTCACATGCTATTATTTTTCTTTAAACACAAACACAGACACAGACACAGACCGATTCCCACACTTTCTAGTTACTTCCCTCATTTTGTGGTTCCCAGGAACCTAGTTGGGACACCGATGATGTCAATTGCCACAATTATGATCTATTTCCATCAAGTCAAAATTGGAAAACCGCTATGGTTTCCAATTCCAGTCACCAAGCTTTGCATTACAGTAAATAGTATTTCCAACTTGGTACTGTCTATTGGAAGCCAACACTGCAGCTCACCAAGACATTAAGTAAGCAAATGCCTTTGGGTCCTCAAAAATTGTCTCGTATGTATCCTAACTTACAACCTAAATGTTGGAGATGTGGAAATTTAGATGCAACTTATTTTCATGTGTGGTGGACTTGTAGGATGGTTAAAGCATTTTGGATAAAGATTTGGTGGAATATTCAAAATGTCTTTAAGAAAAAGATAAAGTTTAAGCCTCAGCTATTTTTGTTGGGTATTATGNAAGAGAGCTAAAGGATGTTATAGAATTGTTAACTTAAGGATAATATAATTTAAGACAGAATATAATTATTGTATTGTAAACCCTGTGTGTAGCTCTGGGAAGTCGGGGGGAAGGGAGGGGGGTGGGGAAGGGTGGGGTATGAGGGAGGTGGGGAGTTATATTGTAAAAATTTTAAAAATTTTCAATTAAAAAAAAAAAATTTAAATAAGCAAATGCCAAAGAACATCATTTGTCAGTGAACAAAACATGAATTTCAAGCTATGGTTTGGTTATTCACAAAACATATAACAGTTCTGCTTGAACTATTTTGAGTCGAGTCAGAAAAGAGAGCCGGATAGTGAACACTCACCACTGCCTAAGTCTACAAAAAGGTCATCTTCAGTCATTTTTATTTCATCTATCATCTGGGCCACCAAGTCAAAAGAAGTCTCTCCATACACTTCTGGGGAAAAGGGTTCATAGTTGTTGAGTTTTTCTGGGTCCGTCACTGAGTGGTTATATACTTGCTGTAGGATATGGCGCAGAAGCCCATTGGAAGGGCGGGTATTCAGTTTCATGGGCTGGGTGGTTCCTTTCCACTGAAGAATGAAACAAGAAACCCATCACAATTTGTTCCTTAAAGCACAAACACCTCTTAAAACTCTCAATGCTTGTTCACAACACCAACAGCACCAAGAACATTCTTTGAATAAGAAGAGGTAGGCTGGAAAAGTTAACGTGACTGTGTAAATCCTTCACTGTGTGAGCTACGTTGCCTTGATTTCTCAATATACAAACATCTGCCATGTTACTAGACTTACCATATAAACATTAACCATAGTATAGTCAACTTACATCTAACCCCACTTTAATTAAGTAAAGCATGTATGCTACCAAAATTCTAACAAAGTGCACTGTTGGCAGTAATGGACATCCTATACATCAGTGTTTCTCAACCTTGACAATTTTAAGGCATGTGGACTTCAACTCCCAGAATTCCACAGCCAGCATTGCTGGCTGTGGAATTCTGGGAGTTGAAGTCCACATGCCTTAAAATTGTCAAGGTTGAGAAACACTGCTATACATCATGGTCTGTGCTTTCTAAACAGTAGACAAACTATAGTTTGCGGCTCGTTTTTTCCTTTGCTCAGCATTCCTGAGCTGAGCAGCATTCTATGTTGGCCAACATGTTGCTTTTGAAAAGCATATAAACAAAGCCTGAAAAGCAACAGGCTTTCTTTTGTCATGCATGCATGTAGCTACTGCTATTCAAAGACAGGCTGTCTCTAAAATCACAGATTCCCTACAATCTTTATGGCTAATTGTCACTGATCAATCTTTCCTCCTTTATGCAGTAGACATATAAGATAATGGCTACTATATCTCACTATGAATTTGTCTGGTGTCTCAAATCAGCTTGACAGGTTTGGTTTTTGTTCTAACTTTATCAAACTGTAGGCAAAACTATAAGGCAAAGGTCTTCTTGATTACCGGTATCATTTTCCTCCTGGGGAGACCCAAGTTCAAATCCCCACACCATTTTGAAGTTCACCTGCCATTCTGGTTCTCAATTTAAGGTGTTTCACAATGTTTTTTAAGGCAAAATGGGGAAAGGGTAGAAGAAAAAAGATTAACTAAGTATTATACTTGGTCCTCTACAGGAAAGGTAGTATAAATATAAATTTATAAATAAATGTTGGATTTATCTGTTTATTCAGTTGTTTTACTTACCACAATGAATATTTCTAATTGATTAATATCGATATTTGATGTTATTATACTTTGTATCATTTTACAATAATTTATGCAAAAGATGCTGAAATTAAAAATTAAGATATTCCAGTATTAAAATATAGAATATAGCTTAGCTCTCCTGCCTCATTATTCACTATTATTACTATTAATTAAATTTGTATGCCACCTTAGTCCCAATGACTCCGGGTGGCTCATCTATCACAAGACCACATGAAGCAGATTTTTACTTTATCTAACCACATTAATGAACTCAAGGTATTCTTCATAACCACATATTGTTACCATATATTGTTACCCTCTAAGGAATTATTTTTAAAAAAATCTATAAGTCGCTGATAACCATGTATACTTAATAACTCATGTACACTTTCTGTAAAATAAATGCTAAACTAAATGTTATTGGAAAAGCAATAGCAGTGTCGTTTGAGGAACTGATATGAGGATTAATCAGTTTAACATTCATATCAATTACTGCAATAGTTAGGTGCAAGGTAAAATATTAGACCAACATTTGGTAAATCGACAGTTTAGAATAGGGGTAGGCCACCTTGGCTCTTTTATGACTCGTGGACTTCAACTCCCAGAATTCCTGAGCCAGCCACGCTGAGGGGAAAGGGAAAGATTTCCAAGCTGAGTCATGCTGGCTCAGGAATCCTGGGAGTTGAAGTCCACGAGTCAAAGAAGAGCCAAGGTTGCCTACCCCTGGTTTAGAACCAAGCCTCCCTATGAAATCACTTCCTTTATTATTACAGGGATATATCAATCCTTGGTCCTATTTGTTTTTGGAAGGCATCAACTACAGAACTTTATGCCCAGAGATAGTTTGCCACAGAATATCAGATACTGTAGGACAATGAATGCAGGTAGTCCTCAACCTACGACCATAATTGAGCCTGGCAATTATGAACATAAATTGTGAATTGTAAAGTGACCGGACCCAATTTTATGCTTTTTGTGTGTGTGGCAGTCATTAAACAATGCTCATTAAGCAAACTCATTGTTCATTATGGGACTTTTTCCCCCCCCGGAAACTGGAAGTAAATGCTGGTTTCCAGGGGAAAAAAATCATAAATTGCTGTTATGAGACCATGGAGTGCTGCATAAATAAGGGCCGGTTGCCAAACACCCAAAATGCCATTACATGACTGGAGGGGGTGAAAGTCAGAACCATAGCTTTTTGAGGGGTCTGTCATAACCTCAAACGGTCACTAAGCAACCAGTCATTTTAATTCAAGGACTGTGCGTGGATCTTTCTTTTTATACTTTTTTGAAGACAGGTAATCAAGAATACTACTGCTGAAAAGAGTATGCTGGAATAGAGAAGCTGTCTAAGAAAGACCTCTTCTTATGTCTTAGGACAGTGGTGGAGAATCTATGGCATGCGTGCCAGAGGCGGCACTCGGAGCCCTCTCTGTGGGCATGCGCGCCGTTGCCCCAGCCCCGCCTCCGCCCATGGCCCCCTCCTCACCAGCAGCCCCCCTGGAGGAGAGTCACCCCTGGGCACGGCCTGCACGGAGCAGCGCAGTAAGGACATAACCAGGCAGCAGGAACAAGACTCCACCCTTGCGCCCCATAGCGTGCAGATGATGCTGCGGGGTGTGGGTGGAGGGCGTGGCTTCCATGGCGCTGCAGGGCTGCCTGTGCGATCTGCTGCGATCTGCTGCGATAGGCCATGGAGGCGGTGCGTAGCCCTGTGGGCGGACGGGGCAGGGGGTGGGCGGGGCTGGAGCAGGGCGGGAGGCGGAGCAGGGGCGGTTTTGGGGCTCTCGGTCTCTAAAAGGTTCGCCATCACTGTCTTAGGGTGACAGGTAAAGACTGAAATCTCCCTATTTACCCCCCCCCAATACGAAATTTGGGGATTGATTTGGCTGCTAGTTAGCTATTGACTGATTGATCCTAAATCAGACAGTTACTGGTTAGGGGAGCCACTTTTAAAATCTCACACCTGTAGTGAATCAGCAAAGTGTGCTGTACTGCTTGATGTCCTTGAAACCAATTGCCCAAACAAATGGCAAAAAATGGCAACAAAACAACAAGGAACACATACCAATTGGTGAATGCTGTCAATAGCTCGGTTGTATTTGTCACAAAGTCTTTGCATGCTTTCAAAGCTAAAATAACAAGACAGAAAGACAAGAGTCATCAGTTAGGCAAATACATATTCTCTCAATAGTCTTAACAACTGTCTGCTCAGCCACAAACATCCTATAGAAGCTGTATTAATTATACCTTTGGCCAACTCTCCGGAAAGTTTTTTTCTGAAGTATCTTCTAATTCCTTAAAGGTTATAGGATCAACAGGTTGGATATATAGTTAAATACAAGCTGTCAGTAAATATATCTAAACTACGCATTCCCAGAGGCCACAAGTAAATCAACTGAAATATCTGCCTAGAAAAAGCTTTAAATGAAAATACCCTTGTGACATCGTCCTGTACATTCAGAAATTAGTTCTACTGAATTCACAGCGGCTCAATCAGACATAAGATGATAGAAACTTTAGAACTGCAAATAAAATTAGTTTTTCATTTGAAATGTATGTTCTACTGAAATGTTTAAAACAATTAAGATAGCGCAATTCATTAACTTCTACATTGCTTAAAGGGTCAGCATTAAAATTCACGGACACAGGTGCATCTGTATTTGTGCTAATAATTTTGATTTTCAGAAGCAGCATTTTGAAATCTTTCAGTATCAAAGTTCTCCTAGGGGACCCTTGATTGCCTAAGTCAGACATGTCAAACACAAGGCCCAGGGGCCGGATGCGGCCGGCAAAGTGGTTTCATGTGGCCCGCGAAGGCATCCTGGAAACAGTGAGGGAACGGCCCCCACTGCCTTGGCCCTGGCACAGGCCAGCCGGGAGCCAATGTAGAATTTTGTGGTGGCCATCTATGCTGAAACACATTCAGTCTTAGCTCCACAAGGCCGTCTAGAAACAGTGAGGAACCAGCCCCTGCCATGTTGACTCCGCCCCCTGGGTGCATGCTGGGGAGGTGTCACCCTTTGTGAGGAATGAAGAACTGGACCATGCCTTGGCGCTTGCCCCGGTCCCACCCCCTTCTGCCAGAGACCCTCAGATCTGTCCCACTCCTGCCCAGCCCCCACAGGCACCCTTGACGCGAACGATGTAGAGCTGGCCATGCCTACCCAGTAGGCCACAACCACTCCATCCACGCCCACCCGGTAGGCCGTACCCACCCTGGCCACACCCACCCGGGCCCCACAATGCTGATGCAGCCCTCAATGAAATTGAGTTTGACACCCCTGGCCTAAGTAAACGATACCCGTTTTCCAACCTGGTGCCCTCCGATGCCAAGACCAGCTGAATAGTCTGCAAATTGTAATTGTGTTCCCAGGAACACCCAGAGGGCACCAGATTAGAGAAATGCTGCTGTAGGCATACAAGATTCATCATATGAACTGGCTGGACTAATGCTTCCCCCCCCCCCCAACTTAACTGAGGAGGAAAGAATTAAAGAATCATCTCAGGTCATGAGGACGGAGGGGGAGGAAAGAAGGGAGGGACATGGCAGTCACATGTCCACTGCACAATCAGATTTCAAGCTTCAGTGCAAAGAGCTTTGCAGCAGCTACTCCAGAGCAACTTGAGAGCATAATTGGAGCATGTCAGCAATAAACCTGACTTTGTAACCGAACAGTCACCAATACTGTTGCCTAATCCCAAGGGTGTGTGGTCAATTTCCAATTTATCTCTTGTTGTGTTTGTATTTTCAAAAGGTTTCCCAGGATACCTCAGTGGCATTCACAGTAGCACACTCCCTCTATTTGGAAAGAGCCCAATGGCTTATCTAACTCTTACCATGAGAATGCAGAAGCACCTTTTTTTCCCATACAGAAAAAGACCTACAGTTTCCATAAACATTGGAAGCCATATGTTCAGAACAGGCACATCAGCATCTGGAACAGGGGTCTCCAACCTTGGCAACTTTAAGACTTGTGGACTTCAACTCCCAGAATTCCTGAGGAATTCTGGGAGTTGAAGTCCACAAGTCTTAAAGTTGTCAAGGTTGAGGACCCCTGATCTGGGAAATCTCTTTGTCTCTAACACTGCTAACTATTTCTGTAGTTGCTGCTTGCAGTCACTTGTGCAAATCTGTCCTTCAGTGTGATGTACTGTTTGAAGTGTGAGAAATCAGGAACCAGGGAAGACAGGTTCAAATGCAAACGAGAGGCCATGATCTAACTAAAGCACAGCCAGACAAGATCACAGAATTTTAATAAAAGAACAAAGTACATCTAGTAAACGTGCCTTTTTTTCCCCCTTGTGCTTTCCCTCTGTACCTTACACTTTGAAAGGTACGGCTACATTAATTAATAGCCGTACCTTTCAAAGCGTAAAGGTACAGAGGGAAAGCACAAGAGGAAAAAAAAAAACCCAGATGAAAAGTTTACCAAATTAATTGACTCATGATATTCACCAACAGTTTAACTCAGGGGTCTTCAAACCTGGCCCTTTTATGACTTGTGGACTTTAACTCCCAGAATTCCTCAGCCAGCGTGCCTGGCTGAGGAATTCTGGGAGCTGAAATCCACAAGTCATAAAAGGGCCAAGTTCGAAGACCCCTGAGTTAAACTGATAACGAACAGCAATCTCGTTTGCCAAGAATGTCCATCGTATTGTGCAATTATTGACAAACGGGATAGCATTAACCGATATCCTAAAAGCATAATAATAGCCCCTAAGTATTACACTGAAGCATTCAATACTGGAGGATTAATCCATGAAGAGAGTTTGTCAAAGTTAAAATGTTTGCTTCTCTTGGGGAAAAAAAAAGGCTCATGAATTAGAATGGAGTGACACAGATTATACTCTGAAACTATATTCCCATGTGTGCTGCAAAGGCTTGTAGAGAGTCCTGCCAGTTAATATTTAACAGAGGTCCTTGATAGGCTGAAGATGACATGCAAGATTTAGTATTCATTTTGTCATTTCGCAAAGGAAGAATAGCATGCAAACAACTCAATCACTTCTTCTACAAAAGTGCAAATGAACAACCTCCACCCCATTCCAGAATTTATTACGGTCAATGCTCAAACTCTAAACTTCTCCAATTCTTGCTAAAAAAAAAAAAAAGTGAAGTTCAAATAATCGACAATCAGCATATGTGCAGAAAGAGTCATGGTTAAAAAAAAAAAGTGACTACTACTTCAACTGTGCTAGCTGCAAGTTTATTTTTAGGGTCTCCTTAATTAAATGCTGAAGGATCCCGCCTTGCCACTGAAATCAGAAGGGATGGGCTAGGCAACCTCGGCTCTTTTATGACTCGTGGACTTCAACTCCCAGAATTCCTGAGCCAGCCACGCTGAGGGGAAAGGGAAAGATTTCCAAGCTGAGCCATGCTGGCTCAGGAATTCTGGGAGTTGAAGTCCACGAGTCATAAAAGAGCTGAGGTTGCTTACCCCTATATACCCTTTATACGCATTCCTCTTTTAATATGGGACAGAACTCTTCTTCCCAGGAAATCTGTTTAACGGTTTCCTTAAATATATATCATATTGTTTCTTTGAAAGCTATTTGTTTCACAGCAGTTTAAAAGTTAATCTAGTTAATCCGATCAATAATTTTATCTGCTATTTTGTTTGCTTTTCATCTGTGGTTATCACATGGGTCGCTCTCCTTAGTATTGTTAGCCACTTAGGCTTTCTAGGACTTAAAGGCAAGATATCAAAAAAATTACACAAAGAATTCATAAAAAACAATGAAAAGCTTCTAACAAATTAAGCTCAATGAGTTATTTACAAAGAAAGCAGATTAAAGTAGCTTTCTTAAACCTGATGTCTTCCAGGGGGGTCTAGGACAACTCACCACGGCCAATTTGCCACACCCAACTTACTGTGGGACAGCTCCCCATGGGACAAGAGTTGCATTAATTATCAAATAAATGGTGGAATAGAATCATTAAAGAAAAGGATGCCAAAGGAAGGACAAAAATCAAATGTAAATGACCGAAATTAAAATATTGCTTTAATTGTTTTAAATGATTAAATTGAATTGTTGAGTTGTCCCGTGGCAAGTTGCCCGTGGTGAATGGTCCAGTGGCAAGTTGGCTGCGGTGAACTGACCATGGCAAGATGGCTGTGGCGAGCTGGCCGCAGTGAGCTGTCCCATTCCACTGCCAGAGGTTAGGCCACAATTTTCATTGTCGATAGGAAGGACACCTAGTTAAGGAAGAATACCATGAACTATCGTTAAGTAATGACAATGTGTTTTCACTGCAAGTTCAGCCAACATTCAGGGTGGCAGAATGAGATCTGTAAGTCTGGACAGAGAAGAACAAGACATCATTCAGCCGGGAGAAATGTAATTACATTTAGAGAAAAAATATAGGGCACGCATATAAGATGGGAAGTTTGTGGTTTGAACCTGAGGAAGATTTGGGTGTGGTCATTGTCAATGAACATTAATCAACACAAACATGTGAGAGACAGTTGCTACAAGAGCAATGTAATCTTGGGCTGCATTACAGGAAGCATTGTACCAAAGAAACAGGAAGTTATTATTCCTCTGTACTGGCTACCAACGAAACCACACCTGGAATACTGTACACTTCCAAGGATTTGGGATTAGAGAGTTGGCAACAAAGGTGATACAGAGACTTGAGAAGAGGTAGGAATGATCAGTCTGAGGAAAAGAAGATTTGGGGCACACATAATAATGATACAGCCATCTCTCAATTATGGTAGAAGTGGTTTTCCTGAACCCAGCAGAGGGGTGATGATCCTTAGTCCCTTCTAACTCAACAATCCTATGGTTTTATTATTCTAAATATAAGAAATCTAAAGTTTATTAACTGTAGCCTTGCCTAAAAGATGCAGTTTGGGTTGCTTGACAGGAATTGCAGAGTAATTGATAAGCCAAAGCTCCCTAAGGCTATTTTGGCAGTACAGCCCAGAATACTTTGGACTACTGCTCCAGATAAACTCACAGCAGAATAACATTTAAGGGGCCAAAGTCACCTTTAAGCTGCATTGTATCTCCTAACAGAAATATAAATAAAAAAGCTGCTGTGGTTCATTTTGGTAACATCTGCTTCAAATTTACTGTTTGAAGTTACTTTAAGTGGAAAGGGAACAATCCCTAACAATGAAAACAGGATTCCGTCAAAGACCTTCATTAATGCCAATTTTGGTTACGTGCCTTAGGAGAGAAAACACAAAAGTGGCAGTCAGACTACTCATTTATTGCTTGGTGTTTTGCAGCAAAAGTTTTTAAAAGGGGGGGAGGGGTCATACAGTGGCTATTATTTATTAAAGTTTTTTTTTACCTGCCTTTTAGCAAATATGTTCAAAAATGCTGACAATGTAAAGAAAAATAAAAAGCCAATAAAATACATTCTCAAAACAAATTGTATTTTGGGATTCAGTAAAATAATTCATCAATACCAAATCTGCAACTCAGCAGATAAAACATCCTGCCAAATGGAAGCTAACAAGGAAATAGAACAGGTTTTGTTATGCAGGAAGTTTCAAAGCACACTAGAACCAAGGAAGGCCTTTGCGTGGATCCATACAACCATTCAATTTGGTGGGATGTAATAAAGGTGAAAATCTTTGCCAACAATTGGTGTTTATTTATTTATTTATTTATTATTTATATTTCTACCCCGCCCTTCTCCCTACGGACTCAGGGCGGCTTACAGCCTTTTAAAAACAAATACATAAATATAATAATACTAAAGTTAAAATGTTAATTTAAAATGAATTATTATTATAAGGCCTTTATTATTTTTTTAAAAAAAAATATTATAAAACCATGTTAAAAATAACCCTTAGGCCAGTCCTGCCAGCTTAAATAGCCATGTCTTGAGGGCGCGGCGGAAGGAGGGAAGATCCGGAATCACCCGGATCTCTGGGGGTAGTTCGTTCCATAGGGTGGGAGCTCCAACCGAGAAGGCCCTCCCCCTGGGGGTCGCCAGCCGGCACTGTCTGGCTGA